AATTCAAAATTCCACCAATTTATCAAAGGTGAGGGTCATCGATCGCGGTGAAAACCTTTGGCCTGCACCTCGCGTGCGTGTAATGTTACGTTATTCGTTGTGTTGTTTCGCGGAGGAGGGGGAGGGAGAAAGGTTGAACGAAACGGGAAATACGAAGACGGCGAGGGTTGGGGGAAGGAGAGTGGTTCGAAAGTGGGAGGCGAGGGCAGAGTTCGGTCCATTCATGCGACTATTGCGTGGATCGCGATACCGGGCAGTGGCTCTCACCGACAATGACCACGGCTCACGGTTAGCCTCCCTTGTCTTTCTAATTGGCAGGACGCGCGAGCGACGTTCGAGGCTTTTGTCGCTCGGGTTCTGGGGGTTGCGGGTTTCATTGGAAGTTGAAATTCACGGGCTAGCGAGCCGCTATTCACCACGGGGGTGGATTCTCCCTTTGCAAGGAAGATGGTGCGTCAATTGGCGCGATCGACTGGCGGTCGGGGAAGTTGTTCGCGAAGATCGCCGTCGATGGGATTGGGGACGTTGTATGATCGATAGGACGTCCGAGGCTGCGGTTTCTTCTCTGGTCGTCGGTGAGTACCGTCCTGTTAGACGTCTATGAAATTGTGATTTGGAGTTTGGGTCTCGAGAGAGCCGCGAAGAATATCAAATTCCTTTTTTAAGAACGAAAGTAAACGGACAGACGGAAATTTTTGATTAATCTCTAAGTAAATTCTTAAAATTTTTAATAACTTTACAGTAGTTAGGAACACCGTGGAATAATAAATAGACCTTTGAATCACGCAGTGTATCTGCTCCTCGAGGAAGGATAATATTGTAATTTGGGGATAAGGTCTCGCGCAGCTTGAAAGTGTTCCACGAGGTCAGAGTAGACGTAATTCCTGAAGGATATCGACCCCATTCTTCGGGAAGTATAAAATTGTAATTTGGGGGTTACGTCCTCCGCCATTTGAAAAGCGTTCCAGGAGGTCAAAGTAGACGAGACCCTCGGAGGATATCAAATCCGCACTTTGGGAAACTGTTTTCGGGGGGCGTTAATCTTCCGTGGTTTCTGACGTACTTGTTAATGATCCTGACAAACTCGAACTTGGAAATCGAATCGATGGACTCTATGGCATCGTTTTCGTCCTTTTTGAACCCAATTTGTCGGATATTCGCGCGTTTTCAATTTAACATCGCGAGCAAACAATGAGTGGCCGACTCTATGGGAGAATAATGCCGCGAAAATTCGGCAGTTTCACCGATCGGGGCACATTACGCGATAACGAACAATAATTAACTGCCTTATTCATAGGGTGTAATATGGTTTGGGTTAGCGCAACCCTTTCGATGTTTTGCCTCTTCGAACACGCTCGGCGATTTGTTTCACTCGCGTTAACGACCGCGATGATGCCTCGAACGATTCTCTAACAAAGTTTTCGTCGAACACGCTTCCGCTCTTTCCTCGAGATTAAAATCTTCTTCGCGAGATCGCCCACTGCCTCCATCCCCTCGCCATTATCCGGTTTTGCGCCATTAGCTGCTACGACTTGCTTCGCGTACGAGTGTCTTTGGCCAACAATAGAGTACCTTTTCCACCGTGGCACTCGCGTTACCTCCGACTAATGGCAGCCTAATTCCCCAGCGTTGTGTCAACCTGGTGTTCGTGCTCCCGAGACATCAAGCACGCAAGAAGTACTCCCGAGGACCCATTTTTCGACGTTAATTCGGCGGTACGAGCTCGTTTGCTCTGATACTTAGCGTCGTTAGCGTTTTTTTTTTTTTAACATTGTACTCTGCAGGAAAAAATTAGTGGAGAGCAGAGTTCGAAGGAACGTTCGATAAGTTTTACGTAGTGTTAAATACTTATAAATAGAATTTGCAGTTTTCTATTTGAGAGACGATACAATGCGTGGTCTCAGTAGATTAGGTGGACGATAGTCGGACGAGGAGCGTCTGTCCTCCCACGAAGTATTTTCTGATTTTAACTAGACGTTAATTCTTCGTTTACACAGTGTTTCGAAACAAATGATAAAACGCGGTAATAAATTTGGTAATTTATCGCTTTTGGAAGGCAAAGCGCTCGGAGCTTTGCTTTGATTTATTTCGCGATGATTTACGGTACAATTTTTCGCTATCTCTTATTAAGCGCGAACGCGTGTTTTCTTCGGTTCCAATCGCGGACATAATTCCTAGTTTGTCGATCGAAGTTTTTTTTAAAAATCCTGAACGTTCTCGAGTTTCATAACAGTCTAAAACCAAAATGTGGTTGATTATAATATTTTCCAACATGCAGGTCCATTTGCAAGTTATATTTACACCGCCTAATTTCATCCGAATCCATATAAATTTAATGCAAACACGAATGTTTGATTTCTCTTGCTGTTTGTATATTAATAATTAATTACATTTCATTAACGTTGCGGGTATTACCGAATTGGGCTGGAAATTAGTTGAAAAATAATTCCCGCTCAATATTACGTATTTTGGCCAGTTTTCGTGGAAAATTGGACGGGATAAGAACACGTTTTTCGGGTTCGAATTCTTTCGACGAGGCGGAAGTTCGACCAGCGAAACGCCGAAGGCTATGTGCCTTAACGCACAGAACAGTTTGCTCTGCATTATAATACTAAATATTTTATTACTCCGTACCCGCGTATTTAGCATCAAACCGAAAGTTTCCTTATTCTATATACACAGCTAACTCGCTTTATGCCTCTACCTCTTCTTCCACCATCATTACTCACACTTCGCGTTACTTTACACAGTCTAACCGGTAATCCCATCTCCATAAACACACGAGCGTTTTCGCCAGTCGCATAAACACTTATTTCTCGTTTTCTCGGCCCTTAAACCATAACGTTCGCGAACCCGTCCAGCGTTCACGTTGATTTAATCATTTTTTTTCTCCGCCGCGGAACGTCCTGTTACTTATTTTATTTGATTTTCTCTTTCTGAAGCATTTCAAAATTCAAAGACCTAAAAATCGTTTTAAAAAAAACATGGAATACGCGTTTGGTTTTTGTACGAATATAATCCATTGTCGGATAAAAATCCCACATCGAGCCTATGAATGACCTACATCCATATGATACTCCATTGTTCAATTTTGGGTTTCGAGTCGTTAAAAATAACACGCACGCCATATTTGAAAATTTCTATAGACTAGCTCGAAGAAATAGTTGGCAAAAAATAGTCCGAACACCGAATGGTACGGTTCAGAAGGAAGCAGAGTGGGTGGTGGGGGGGAATAAGTCGTTCGTTGAGTTTCTCGAGCGAGCCGGAACTTCCAACTCGAATTGTCTCGCGCGAAAAGTGATTCTTAACTCTTGGTTTTTGGAACTGTTGAATTTCGCGCTACTTCCGGGCAACGTTTTCGCTGCCACCGAGCCGTGGTACGAGGGGGGAAAACAAAGAGACGAGGAAAAACACCGGGGCGAGGAACAGGCGGCCGCCAGTTGGTTTCGTTCGAGTTTTCCAGCCGTAGACGGGCCTCTTTTCTTCTCTTTTCTGCCTCCTGACGCCCCGGGTTCGCCTTTGTGGCTAAGTAGCGCGAGTAACTCCTTTCAGGCGTTTTGCTTTACCTCTGGATGACCCCAAACCCAAAGCAGATCGTTCCATGGTGCTCTACCGGATTCCTATCAAATCATTTTCTATCACTTTTAACCCACAAAGAATTCTATTCGCTCGATAAAATATTTCTCCGCCCCTCTCGAAGATAAAATAAATTTTACAGAGTTATTTGCATTTTGGTTGGTACATACATTACTTTGAATCACTCTATAAAGGTTTGCCTTTGTGGCTAAGTAGCGTAACTCCTTTCAGGCGTTTTGCTTTGCCTCTGGATAAAGCAGATCGCTTCATTTTCTATCGTTTCTGGCCTACAAATAAATTCTACTCGATAAAATATTTATCTGCCCTCCTCGAAGTTATTTGCATTATAGTTAGTGCGTTACTTTGAATGGATCTATAAAATTTCCCTGGTTGTCTAATGAGTACGCGGCCTTATTATTATTCCGACAGGTGAAACACCGAGTTCCAATGACCCGATGATCCCTGGGAGCGTAAATATGCGAGGGATCCGTGGTCCGCGGTAACGAGCAGAAAATCTGTCTAGGAAGCGACGAGGAAGCCGCGATTATTAACAATCCGATTAGTCGTTAATTAACGCCCGTTAAACTTTCGCCGTACGCTCGATTTACGTAATCAACGGGAGCGACATTGCGAGCGCTGATCCGATCTGTTATTGGATCACGCGAGACACGAGCTGGAAAATTCGCGAAATTCCATCTTCTCTATTTTCCTGCATTTTTCATTCTACGCGACGCGGCGCGAAACTTCACCCACGTAGACTTTTACGTCCATCGATCTCTTCGATACTTTTACTATATTCACGACGTACGATCTTCGATCCATTAACCCTCGTTGATTCGAACTAAAATCGTGCGTTTTAGAATTGCATAATTCTAAGTTTCGACTAGCAATAATTACGAAAGAATTTAAAAATACAAATAGCGCGGAGATTCGATGATAAAGTGTAGTTTATTTTTTTTTACAATGTTCGTGGGGGATCCCTTGACGGGAATTTTTCGCGTAAATTGCGCGAACATTAACGAGGATTCTCGCTCGGAGGCTTGAAAATCGATTTAAGCACGGGGATGGCGCGGGATTAAATACAATAGAATCAGTGCGGAACAAGTTGTAATAGAGCTGTACACGGCGGGGACAACGCGATCGTGAAATAACATCTAATTCGCGATGTCTCCCCGGGATATTTCCCAGAGAGGCTATCAACAATTTTTTCCACTGGAAATATTAATTTCTTCTCGAGAAATCAGCCTGCAATCTTGGTCCTCCTTTTGTTTCGTCCTTTTACGACTCTTCTTCCCACGTATCCGTCGACTTTACGACTCCATTGCGTTTTACTTTCGTTGAATAAATGCATAAAGGAATGCCTCGTTCCCCGATGCATTGTAAGATGCAGTTTCGGTCTGACAGGGCGGGAGATTTTGTTGCAGGATGCAGGTACGAGGGCCGCAGGTACCAGGAGGGCGCGTCGGTGGTCACGTCTGAGCCTTGTCTGCAGTGCAGGTGCGTCGAAGGTGGGCTCAGATGCCGTCTTCGGGTTTGTCCACGATTACCCAGCCCACCGCCCTCGGGTTGTCGCGCTCGTCCACCGGGAGAGAACGTCTGCTGCGCGGAATTGGTTTGCGGCGAGACACGTTAGTACCATTTAGAACAATCCAATCGAACGAATATCGAGAGAAAATACTGGCCACGGTAATACATTCACCCTTAAGAAACACTAATCGTTTCTCTCGAATACAGGAATCTTTGTTAGACTTTAAATAGTTTATTATTTATACATAAATCGTACGTACAGAGAGAGCAAATATAAATCGAAAGTGCAAAGAGGCGAATCGCGTAGCTAGAATGCTGTAACGAAATCTAATTTCAGTAAGATTTAACGTCAATACTGATTAACGTAAAGAAACACCGACGAAGATAGAGGGGTTGAAAGCTCATGGAATTTGCAGGGGACTCCGTGAATATTTTACGAAGATCGAACGTTCGTGTAGAGCAGGAAGAAACGTACGAGGAGGATTATCAGAATTCTCGCTTTCAAGGTAACGATTGCGTCCTAACGATGGAACGAAGAAAGAATATTATATTTTAGATCTGTCAGTGAACGTGTCAAGGCATTTAAAAAAATAATGAACTAACGGTTACATAAATTTTTAAATAATTACATCGATATATATTAAACAATTACTGGGTTAAACTCGTGGATAATAATTCAATTAAGGGTTAACGAAGTATTTAATGATTTTTAAGGGTTGTATATTTATTAGGATCTAGGAAGGGTTTATGGGCAGGTGGTGGATTGAATCGGTGTTTTGACGATCAGGTTGCCTGCACGAGGGGGTGAGATACGGTCCAGGTTCAGCGATGATGGGCTCCCGCAGATGCGAGTACTGTTACTGCATCTCCGGTGCAAGAAGATGCATCAGACCGAAGTGCCTGTTGCCCCTGCCAGGATGCACTCCGCTGTACGCGCCGCACTCATGCTGCCCGGTTGCCTACAATTGCACCCGTGAGTGTTCTTTCCTGCCAGGCTCGCGGGCTCGCGAAATAACTCATTCTGGTCTTTTCTTTTTCTTAAAGATCTCCACTCCTCCACCCTGGCGCCGGTCGTGGGAAACGGTGAGTCCAAATACTCTTCTTCGCGCGACGCTACGTCTTTTGATTTCTATTCGTGAGATATCCTTCTCTCTTACGTTGAACAAGTTTTTAATTTTCATCGGATAGAAGATGAAACCCCCTTGAAAACGAATTTTCTTTCAAGTCGATACCGTGGTTGGTTCTAGAGAAAAGAATTATTTATAATTATTTAGTATACCAGTCGTACGATCAATAGGAAGTGGTGAAACTACTTTGGGTATGTAGCGTCAAAGTAAATGTTAAAATAAACATAGAAGATAGCAAAAATTATAGTAGTTGGTATGGTCATCGGATAGAGGATTAAATGCCCTTTAAAATGAGCGTTTGTGGGAGTCGATAGCTTTATTAGTTCCGGAGATATGGCGATTTTAATTTCAAGTCGATCGCGTGAGTCCGAAGGGCCTGATTACGTTTGTTTACATCTCGAGATGAATGAAGTCACGTGACCGTAGTAAATAGTAAACGTGACGTCACTCGGTCACTCGGTCAGTGGGTCAACGTGCGACAAGGAGGTCCGACGCGTCAGACGGAGACAGAGATAGTCAAACTAGAAAAATTACCTTTTACATAAATTACGATATCTCGAAAACGGGAAGTCCGATCGACAAAAACCAAAAGCCATATTAAAGAGGAAGGTTCACCGCTGCCAACAATGCCTTAATAATTAATAGAACACTAGTAGTTTCGGAACTGCACGCGTCCAAAGTTTGACTATTTTTAATACGCGTTAATAGCCTTTTCTAAGACGGAGAGCGGAATTTGAAAAATGACCTATTACATAAATTACGATATCTCGAAAACGGAAAGTCCGATCGACAAAAACCAAAAACCATATTAAAGGGGAAGCCTTGCCGCCGCTGGCAATGCCTTAATAATTAAGAAAACACTAGTAGTTTCGGAACTGCACGCGTCCAAAGTTTGACTATTTTTAATATGCGTTTTTAGTTTGTTTTAAGACAGAATTTGATCCACCAACATATCGTACGATTACTAAAGTTTTCCAACGGTAAAGTTGTTGGTAAATCAACAGGAACGATAGGGTTAAGCTCGCCGGATCGCGCATCATACCCCCGGTATCCTTAACAAAATGAAACTTTCGATCTATTTCGACATCGCGTTCCGGCGTTTGTCTTGGCTAAGAGTTTAATCACCGGCTGCCACGGCAGCAGTCACGTCAACGCTGTCGTCCGGGGAAAGCCTCTCTCGAACAACGACCCCCGTCCAGGGAAAGTTGCGACGAAAAGTTTCCCCCGGCGCGATAAAAAGGAAAGTTCACCGGGCCCCGCGTCGCTTTCGGAAGAAGCCGCTGGTCGAGTTTAAAAAGCTCGGCTTACGAGCGAAAAATCGCCGCGCGGTACGAAATCACGCGGACCCCTGTACCGCGAATTTTAATCCTCTCGAGTCGTAACAGCCTCTCATCCGCGGGCATCTCTAATTATCATCGCGAAAGATCCCTTTTAAGAATCCCCACCGGTCGTCTCGCCGCGAGAAGGGAAAAACTTTCCCACCCCCTTTTCCCGTAATACGCGCGCGCGTCGGAAAGTTGGAGGGAAACGTTTAGCGCAATAAAACACGGTTACTGTCGGCGTTACTTTATCCCGTGACACTTGCTTCAGAAAGATTTCTACCGTCGTTTCTCAGCTCGTTCACTTAACGCCCAGTTTCATTCAATTTTACGACGCGGCGGCCCTTTCCCGGGCAAACTGGAAATCACGTTTCCAGGTAAATCTGACGGGTGAAGAGACGCCCGCCGCGCGAGGCGTCGCTTTTCCCCATTTCCCGCCTGCTCCCTCCCTCCCTCCCCGCCACCGCGCAGACGATGTCGCGAAATTTTTTATTTTTTAATTTTCTGTTCGCTCGGCGATGAAAATCGAACGTTTTTTTTAAAACGCTGCACGGGACCTCGTACATTATTTAATTTTCGTCCCGTTCCGCCGGGGGGGAAAACAACGAAAAATTTCATACAAATATTTCCCGCGTTAAATAACTCCTCCATTCGTTTTTCCATATTTTGACCCGCGGAAAATAGGTTTCGAAAGCTCTCGCTACTTTTAGTTTTCTCGTCGTCTGTTTCTAGTGGTCGAGGTCTCTCGAAAGCCTAGCTCAGACGTCGGTGGTTGCCGTCGGTTTAACGGCCAGTTTCCCGCGACTGCTTAAAACTTTAAACCAACCTCTGAACCCTCGTTTCCCTCCATTATGCGAGCGCTCATGGCCATTACAGAACCATTCCCTAACACGTGCATTTTAGAAAGAATAAGTACACAGAGTGTTTTGTAGTTTATTTGATCGTTTCTGGCGAAGAACACTCGGTGACCTTGAAATCGCTGGCTAAAAATCGTACGACAGCCCCGTCGTTTCGTCTGGAACGAGAAGACAACGCGTGGCCCCGTCGAACGTCGCCATAACATTGTAATAACGCCCTCGGGAGACGTTCTCGCGATAGAACTTCGTCCTGGAACGGATCATCGGGACCGATATTGGGTTCGTTCGGTTTTCAACCCTGCCCACCGCCACTCGAAAGAGGGTGAAAGGAGATTGGCTCTCGGCGCTTTATGAAGTGCTGTATCACCTTCGACCGAATGGATTCTAAAGATTATCCTTCCTTTCTCCCTTCGAAGGCAACCGTCTCCTTTTGATTCTCCCTGGATTCCGTTCAGTTTGAAAGTTTAATTGCCGGATTTGCCAACTTTTCTGGAATAACTATGTGCGATAGTTCTCCTTCACTTCTCCAACCTTTTTTGTATTCCATTGCTTTGGTTCGAGGATGTTTAGAGGCTGGGAAAATTTATTATAAATAAATACGATAATCAGTTTTTACAGGATTTATTTACAATTATTGCACAGTAACGATAATTACTACGCTATTAATCGTATCCTGGTGAAGATATCGCCTCAGATATTACGAGCACGCGGACTCGAGACCATGATTTAAGAACCCAGATCCAAGGGATTCTAAATTCTACCGATAACAAGTCGAATTTAATTCGAAAGACTTTATCGGGGCATTTTCTATCAGACACCTCGAACCATTCGTTTCTTTTTATCGGTCTTTTTTTATTTAAAGAGTGCTCCTGAAAATATATCCTGTGAATTTTATATCGACGTATGAGAAATTGTCGAACTTATAATACTTGGAGGAGAACACCGCGCGAACAGAAAAGCACGATATAAATCTGGCGCTCTTAAAACTTCGAAAGCGTATTTCTCGGAACCATTCTTCTCGGGACTCTGTCGACGCGATATCTTGGGAATCGACGATCGATTTCAAATTTCGAGTCCATGCGGAGTGGATGTTCCCGGCGTCGAACCTAAGCGGACATCTTTGAATCTATATTCTTCTCCGGATCCGATCACAAAAATTATATTTCGATCGACCGTGGACCTTCCATTTCTTCGCGAATTCTTTTTACTTTACTAACGAAAAAAAAATTGCATCTGTATCTCGAAACGTTAAAGAACATACGTGGAAAGTGGCGAAAAGTTTCATCGAACCCTTAAGCTGTAAAAAAATGGTCAAACAACGCTTCTCGTTTCTATCATTTTACACGAGTCTTCTCCCTTGAATATGGAATTTTTTTTTTTTTGTTGTTTCTACAGGGTGTCGCGTGGGTTCGCGAGTGTACGAGGAGGGCGAGATGGTGAGGGACATCGAGTGGAAAGCTGCTTGCGACAATTGCTTTTGCGCGATGGGCGCGGTGCGTTGCGTCCCGTTGGCCTGCGCGCCGCCTCTTCAAGGCTGCAGCCCCATCGTACGCGATGGACACTGCTGTCCATCCACCTACAACTGCAGTGAGTCGCAATAATCTATGCACCAGGGTTGCCGCGATTTCGCCCCGCCCGAAAGGCCCACCCCGGATTGTGTTTCGCGTTCCCCCTCGGCGTTAATTTCCATCGGGCTAACAAAAAAAACACACACAAAATGTATAAAATGTTCGAAATCTATTTTTCGACCGTTTAAAATTCGTTGCTGGGGAATTTTTAGGATCGTCGTCCACTCGGAAAAGTCGTGAAATTCGAGCGGTCGTGTTCCGCGGGAGCACGGCGTTGATAAAAAGAGCCGCGCTGTTGACACGTATGTATTTGGAAGTACTCCATTTTCGTTGATTCGTTCAACGGGGTGGGGACGCGGCGTTTTATTCGATCCGGTCGCAGCTCGAGATTGGATACATCGCGACTAACGAATGAAAATAATTTAGCGAGCCGTGATATGTTTGTTGTAAAAAAAAAATAAAGCGTTCGACGGTTTGACACCGGTCAAAACGGTTTTTCTCCAGTCGTTGCGTGAAATAAAACTTCGTCGAAAACATCCTGCCTCGATATTCGCTAAACTCCCTGATTAGACGCGGAATGCTTGACGTAAAAACAAAATTACAGCCACGTGATTTTTCACAAAAGTCAAAATCAGTCGGCTCTTTTATTAAGAAATATAATAGCGATAGTAAATAAAAAAAAAAACGGGGAGAAGTCGAGTTAACCCTCAAGAGGACTAAACGTAAATGTAATTATTTGAATTTGATTTCAATTTACCAATTTGAGAGTCCACTTGAGGGTCGAGACGACGGAGAATCGGTGGCAGGTTAGTTTCGGGATTTCCCGGTGCAAGAAATTAGGTTTGCTCTCGCGAGATATTTCTAAAAAGCGTGAAGTTTTTCGCGAGCCTTAACGAAGACGGATCTGGCGACACGAGGAACGAGTGGTCGTTCGAATTTTCGCCGAGAAGAAAGACGGAAACACAAGCGGGGCCGGGCGCAGCGCAAAAACCCTGTGCTCTTTCACAACCCTGATTACCACCTAGGTGTTCTAGCCCGAATGCCATAAGAAACTGACAGATTAAACGTTCAAGGCGGTAGCATCGAGGTTAAGGCCACCCAGAACTACGCCTCGTACGCGTTCATCAGCAAGGACTACGCCAAGTTCCGCAAGGAGACCAATTTCTTTGTATGTTTTCGCCTTTCACTCTTCGAATTCTTTTCCCCCCGCTTCTTCTGTCTGTCCGACTTGTCGCTCCGGCGAATCAATCTTCCTGTCCCTGTGCTTTCAGCTTCCACTCCGTGCATGCTTCTTTCGCCTTCCCGGTGATTGGCTGGAAATTTTCAACTCTGTCCCGCTTTTCGTGAATTTCCTGAATTTCCTGCATTCGATCCACTTCCGGGCTCTGGGCTTTTTTCGCCGGCTCTCGTCGAATTGGATGGATCCCCGAGTTCTTATTCTTATATATATATTTTAGAAAGCCAATGGAAGACCCTCGGAAGCGGTTTTTCACGGAAATATTAATTTAAAACGAATTTGAAAGGTCAAAGGGACCGATCGACCAGGAATCGAGAAATGTTTAAATCTTATACGAAACGTTAGGATGTATCGATCGTGTTTTCATATTTTTCGTCGAGGAAAGGAGCTACGGTACTCCGACACCGATAAATTTCTCGTTCCCGACGATATCCGTCCGAAACGTTCTAAAACCGACTGAAAAATCGCCCGGTGTAAGAGGAGCGTGAAAATAAAAATGAAAAAATCACCGCGGACCGTTTTATCCGCGTCCGCGTTACCCAAAATCGCTGTTTTCGTATTCGGTGGATGTGCTTTGAAAAGAGGATACGGGATCTTAACGCTCCAAAGATTTTTTGACAGTGTATTTGCTCGGATAATTATTTCACTATCGAGTACTTTGCTTAAACTTAGTTTCTCAGTTTCCGCGAGGGAGATTCCGAAGCTTCTGATCGATAGCCTCTCGAATATCGAGCATTTCGAGGGACAAAATCGCTCGAATAAATGGTCCTGTAATTGTTTAGAGCGGTTTAACACCGACAGCACCGTACAAGACGCGACTGTCCAATTCGAGGCTGAAGTCTCTGACGAGGAATGCTTCACTTCGCGTTTCCGGATTAACTAAGTTAAATGTCTAACCGGCGCGACGTCCGTTCCGTTGGGATTGCATTAATTAAATTCCACTACGGGTTGTAAATCACGTGGCCGCGAACGAGATTATACATCGATGACAAAAGGAATAGTTGACGATCCTTGCTTCGTGCGCCCTAAACCCTTCCATTCTCGATTAATTAAAAAGTCACGGGGGGAGGAAAAATATTTCCACGAATTTTTCCACCATATTAAAATAGAAATGTTTGCGGTCGAACGGCAAACCAGACTCTTGCATTATCGGATCCGTATATTATTTTAGTGAATTTTTCAAATAATTTTCACTTCGTGGTACTGTCTACTATTCAGATGAAATTAAAGTAAAATTAATACATCACGGATTTAATAAATCCACACGACGGGAGTATTTTGTTTAATAATTTTAAATATCTTGCCATTTGGATAACAGTGGAAACGAATGGTTTGATATTTTCCTTCGATATTAATTAGGTAAGTGCACCTAATATCGATATAACCCAATCACCGGCACTTTCGATTTATTTCATTAACGCGATTATTAACCGTTTGATAAAAGCATTTACGTTTTTTCTCAGTATTTCATATGCTTCGAATTTATTGATATCGTTATAATGTCGCTAATAAATAAAAATTCGGTCGTGAAATCAATATTGCAGTCGTCAATATTCAAATAAATATTAAAAGAGAATACTTTTCCATTACACTGTCGACCATCCGTACATTGATATTTGATTTGTCAAAAATTTTAATAATTTCTACTATTTCCAAGAATAAATGGTGATTTTTGGGAGATCTTTTGTTAGTTCAGATTCGAGACGCAGTCGTTCCGTATTTATTTTAATCAAAACGTGAGTATTTCTTTTTTTAAGGCGACGCTGCAGTTAGTCCCCTCTAATTAACATTGAAATTTTTTTCCCCCCGGTACGTTGTTAACTATTCAGCGTGGAGTCGCAAAGCTCTGTGCAGGCTACGACTCTTGTTTCCATCTGTCGAAAACGAATGGAGCAAATGTAATTTCGCTTCTTTTGCCTTGTAGATGAAAGAAGTAGCTCTCCCGTGGCATGTCACACGTCCTCGAAAAATAGATTCCGAATGTTATTTCCTCGCCTTGAGTTCTTCAGCGTTAAGTGCAACGGGTGGCAAGAGCGTGCATCCTAAACTTAACATTACACGGAAATTAAAACGCTATTAACGCCTGTAAATATTAATATACTATTAATACGTTGGCATTAAAACCGCCGCAATTGCCAAAATAATACATCGATAACGATTTAACCATTTTAACGAGACAGTGTAATCATTAAGTTGTCTGACTTTGTTAATATATGAAATTCACTCACAAGATCGTCGATAACAACGTCGAACAGTCAAATTATACGCTTTAATTTCGATAATTGAGCTTAGCGCATTATAACGAATAACAATTCTACAAAATGAATTGTTTATTTTGAAATAATTACAAGTTAATACTTCCGGTTTTGGTATATTTTCACCTCGTAGAAAAAAACGATACCTTTGTTCCCTCTTATTCTATTAAAATCTCATGCTGTTTCGATCATATTTTTTAGTCGTTTACACGTTCTGGCAAAAACAAGCTCGAAAAAAAATAGACGCGTCCGCATCGTTCCAATTATATTCCCGTACCGTTTCGTATCCCGGGAATAATTCACGTTTTTTTCCAAATATTTTTTTCCGCAACAATGACAAAATATTATGAACACGCGGCAGTCCATCGTTTTTACAAACAAAGCTGGACAAATATTTTATGTGCAACGGCGGTTGCCTCTCGACGAAACAGAATGATTTTGATCGCGCGTTACGCCGGTTGGGCAAATATTTTTTTTTTAAATATTGATCTGTTTTCCCGTACCCTTCGAAACCAATTCGAATAGTTTAAAACTATGATGGAATTTTTATTATTTGGATCGTTTGCTATTTGGAAAAACACTTATTGCAAAGGATCAAAATACGCGTTCGGTTCGATTCATTGACGAGTTTGATAAAATCGGGTTGCATAACCCCGTTAATGCGGTTCGACGCGAGGAAGGTGTACAGTAAACGCGGTGTTCGTAGAATTTTAATTACGAAATCGAACGAAAAGCTCGATGTTTTTTAGCGATTAGGCCACGAACGATTTTCTGTACAGCCGGCGGTGGAGCAAATAACGAATCCACCGGTCGAGGGACGCGGTCATCGAGTGGTCGACGAACGGATCGATTCAAGCACGACGGATCGCGAGGATTCCTCGATCCCCACCGATCCCACGTCCTGGCCATCCACCTTCGAGACCGACATCATGGACAACGAGATCCTCGTGGAGACGGTGGACTACGTGAAATCCAGCCCAGAGATCGCCACCACGACGCCAGCGTCCCTGGACGAGGTAATCTCCCCAACATCCAACGCGTCCATTTTTCGTCTCACGAATTGCAAAAATTTGAAATTTTCGTGGAAAGTATCCGAGATGTTTAATTTGACGGAGGTCTGGTTGTCTCAAGGTCGTGTCATATATTAACTATAACATAGTAGCACAGTCTGGCGAATTCCCTCGCCTGGGAATACAGGATGCATAGAGGTACACTGCTATTATCCTGCATCCCAGCCACCACTCCAAGTTACGTCTTACGTTCAATTAGGACAGCTGTTTCCATCCGTCCAGATTACGAGCCATAACGTCCCCAGTTCACCAGCTGTACCACTCTCCTGCACCATCAGAACTTTTTACCCAGTGTTTGGCACAGTTTTCACTCGAACAAACATTGGCGATCTCTTTTATTTCGTAAAACTGGGCGTCTAGTTCAAACCGACCCATATTTGATCTTTGATGGTTTAAATTTCGAAAAATCTGTGTTTCTCAGCTGACCAGCGTGGACGATTCGACGACCCTGGAGTCGACTCTGGCCAGCAGAGAAGACGAATTCGCGAACGATCTGTCGACCACGTTTTCGACCAGCACCGAGGGATCGACGATCACCACGATCGAGGATCTCTCCTCTGTGGAGGACGCGACGACGGACCGGACCACCCCGTTACCGGAAGCCATCGGAAACGATACGGTAACGGAACCAGAGGACACCAAGATCAACGCAACAGTGAGGAACAAGAACACCGTCTCGAATCTGACGGATGCTGCGTTCAAAGAAGACCTCGAGCACGCAAACTTCACGGTCAGTGAATGAATCGCTCAACAAGCTGTCTCTTTAACCCTTTGCACCCCAAATTATATTTAAATTTTGTCACCAACGCTTTGAAATTTACGTTGATCAAAAAATAAGGCAATTGATCCTCAAACTTATGTAATCCTCCATTAGTAAAATTTGGTAAAATAATTCAGTCGTGATCGAGAGTCCACTTAAGGGTTAAATATCTGTTTCATTAACACTATTGTTGTACTTTTGTAATTTCCAAGCGTACGATGTCCAGTCACACTCGAGATAGGAGTGCAAAGGATTAATCTATTAATGATTAAAGTTTAAGAATCGAATGGGGATTCGATAATTGATATGCTCCGTCGCCTGTACCAGTGAACTAATTTCCCAGAGAGGATCGATTAAAAGCGAAATTAGGGATCCGGGTGCCAATCGCGGGGGGTTGACGTTTAACAACCTGTTGCGATTAGATCGAGCCGTCGGAGACAATGGAGTCCATAACCAAAGGGGCCGTCAGCAAAACGTCATCCAGTGTACTAATGCCGGATGACATCCTGGTGATGAACGTGACTGTGAAAACGAACGTCTCGGTGGGTCACATTCAGGGTGTCACGATAAACCCGATTAGGTCAATCCCGCCGGACGTGGAGGCCATACTGAACATCACTCATCGAGAGAAGGGGGAGGACTACGATTACGATTACAGCGAGCCTACTCTGCCGCCGTCGCTACCGAATGTCAGGTAAGGTAAATACGATTCCACGAGACACGGTTCGAAACCACACGAAGTAACAATACCAATTACCGAGATTGAAGGCTGGCCCTGGACATCGGAGGAACAAAAGATGGCAAAGGAGCGAGAATTCTCCTCCAGTCTCCACTTTTGTTATCCTTCACCGGTGCCCGGTGTGATTTTAACGGGTAACTCGAAATGGTCGTAACAAAAGAAGTCTGCAGCTTTGATTCCTCTGTTTTAGTTTCCCCTCGTTTATTGTGTTACTTTTGAAAGACGAGCCCCCGCGAATGGAACACCAAAGAAAACACGTTTTTATGCAGAATCTCGCGCACCTAACAACCGATCCTTCCTCCCGTCGTTTCTCTCGCCCTTGGAAATTCATTAAGATAGGCGACCAACTTTCGAATTTGGATTCTCGAAGAATGTTTTCATTTTCCAATTTATACTTCTCCGTAAAGGGGTAGTTTTGGAACTCTATCGTTGCTATTTTGGTGGCTACGGTAACGTAACAAGAAAATGGACGGAGAAACTCTGTGGAGGAGTGTGTTCGAAACTGGATCTGCTAATGGATTCGTTGGTAAGGCTATCTATTGTCGGGACGGAAGAGATTGGACTGTCAAGGTCACTTCCCTCGACTGTGAATCACACGAGTCACGATTCCCAATCCCACGACAAGCTTGTTCCTCCCTTTAATCTCTTCGGGGACGAATTACTTTCACCGAAATATAAAACAACCCAGACCCCAACCCGATCATCATCCTATCGACGCGACGAGATTCTACCCTTGTTTAACATATCACAATATCGCAAAATTTAATACAAATATTTACCAGAAGAGGTTAACAAAGATCCATTTTCAATCTTCCAAATTCCCCGGTTCGAGTAGCAAAGAGGGTGGGGGGTAGTTAACCCAGCGACCTTGAGCGACCAATTAACTTTGCCCGGACTCTGCCTCAAAGGGGAAAGCCCTGAAAATTCTATCGAAGCACCCACGTACTCGGATCGATGACAGAAGTACCGTAGAAACGGAACCAGCATTTCTATGGTTTGCTCATCCGCGTTCCTGCAAAGTAGCCTTTTGGCTTTAACTGTTACTTCGTTTCCACCGATAACGCATCGTGTCCCGTGCATTCGACACGCTCGGCGGTCGGACATTTGATTATTTAGAAGGACCGTGTGCGGATGGTTTCAAAGCCCGTTTGAAAATGCAGGGCCCCGAACGGTGGACACAGCAATCAATGCTGGTTAGCACAAAGAAACAAACAAACTTTATGGCCCTTTGACGCGCTGGCCACGGTCCACTCCGACCCTCCTGTCCCTCGAGCAGTTTGTATGCTTTTCCACGCGAGCTACGTAATTTATAGATATCCGTCGAAAATTACAGCAAATATGAGTCGTCGAGCAAACCTTTGCTACTCTGCCATTCCCAGGAACCTCTCTCGTTAATATCGGTAAGGGGACTTTGTGTAAAACCAAGGTACTGGTATTCGTACTCTGGTGCAATGTCACTCGTTTTTAAGTTACACGGTCCAATTTCTTGGCTGCCAAGGTAATTTACAAATTGTCGCGGAGTTTGAAACGCTGCGAAATAAGACGGGGGTTTTTGTACGTTTCCCGCGCAGGATAATTCCGTTCGTGGCGGCGGACGCGCTGGTGAAAGACAAGACGGTTCCGTCGCCTGTCACCGGATATCCTTCCGGTTCGGTGGTCGTGCCACCGGAACTACGACCGACCGACACTTCTGGATTTTACGATATCGCCACTCAGGAAAACAGATTCAGTCCGCCGGTCGAGACCGAAGGTGGGTCGTATTTTAAATTTCCAAGATTCCCCGGCACCGGCGTTCACACTTTATCCGTCCCGTAAATTTCAAATTTCTCGCGATGCATGCCCGACGACGAACATCCCCGTTCGAAACAGTTTCGACCAGCGATGGGCACCCCCGTAAAACAAAAATCAGTTTACCTCCCCTTTAGGACACCTTTCCTTATTACTACCAAAATCCAACGATAATTTGAAACGCTTCGAACATTCTGATATTAAAGATTTCCAAATAAAATTCAATTATCTTCTATTTTTCTCGCTGCAAGGCGATTCGCTGGTTATTACCAAATTCGAAAATAAACGTAAACGCGTCTCGGTTCCATCGCTGGTTTCACCGCCGTGCCGGTGGCACACACGTGCTATTAACTTTTTCGGGTTGCTTCTTTTTTTTTTTTTATTTTTGTTCCTTTCCGCAGAAACCTATTTCGAGCAATTGAAAAATTTCCAGCTGCTGCCGGAGAAACGGACATGGGCGCTCGAAGTTATAACGATTTTTTTTTTTTTTTTTTTGCGATCAACGTGACGCTGACGTGCATGCATTTCGCGGGCCCTCCCTTTGCGAGACTGTACAATTTACCGGGACAGACACACTGGGCTTGACAGTATTTTCGACGATATTTTCGTTCTTTTTACCAACGCGTCCATTTATATAATTTGGACGTTTTCTCGTTATTAGTTGCAGACCAGGATTCGTCAAACAAGCTGTCGTTTATTGTCAATTTTAATGCGTCTGTTCCGAAGTCTGGTACGCTAGAGTGGTCCGTAAGATCATTAGTCAGTTTAAAAAACTGAAAGAACTTACGGTCTGCTCGCCGTCTTACTTGTTTATTGTTGAAACCGATTTGTTTTTGCAAGGTGGCTTCGTGCCAAGGGAACCGCCCTATTTCGACGCCCCTTATCATTCCACCGATTTGAATCTGGAAATTGGAACAGCCGTCACTGTTGTTCCAGCACCGATCACGACGAATCCTCACCGTAAAAGCGATGGTAACACTCGATTTTTGTAACTATCCTCAATCACATAGAGTTTGCTTTAACATCGACATCTGAATCCCCCTTTATTTCGAGTATTGTATAACGCAATTATTTTCGGAGTATCTTCCCCGTCTGGTTGCTCCTATTTCCCCCAAAAATATCCATTTCGGAACCCGCTGCTAACGACCCGCTTCGTTTATTTTATTTTCGAAGTTGGTTCGAAGAGTGGCTGTGTTTTTGTTTCACGAAACTTCAGGCAGCAACTGCCTGTTCGAAAGTATGGAGCACCGTCACGGCGAGATTCTGCCCAGCAGCAATATCTGCGTGATATGCATGTGCTACTACGGCGAGGTGGTGTGCTCGTCGGAGAAGTGCCCGCCCCTGAAGATCGGTTGCCGAAGAATGAACACCGAGGAGGCCTGCTGCGGGAAAATCGTATGCGGTATGCAAGAAACACACCCGGATTTAACACAGAAAATCCCGCGTAACAAAGCGAAATCCCCCGGACTCGTGCTTCGCACGCTTTTCCCTCGACCCCCCTCCCATTAGAACTTGCAGCTTGTTAGGGGTGGAAACTTTTACTCTTTAAGAGCGGCATTACACCGACTATAAATCGTTGCAGCGGCGGGCTAGTGTGACCCGGTCATAAATTTTCCCCGGACAGTTTTAAGGAACTTTTAACCAGTTATACAGAAAAGGGGATGATCCAACCCTTTTGCGCCCCGAGACGTTTCTCTGATCACCTACCAGAAACAAACGACTCGCGAATTTTAAAAAAATGTTTTTTTAACAAAGTTACATCGTAATCGCCCTTTAATATATAATGATCATCGGTCAAATGGAAAGTTTATCCGCAACGAGGGTGTTTATCGCGAGAAAACTATGTCTCCGAAATTACCGGTATATTACTCCGCTAATTTCGCAAGGCAGAGTTTGCCAAACTAGTTTAACTACGAGTCTAACGATACTCATAATAGCCACAAGTTTCCTTCTTGCTGAACATTGACCCTGGCTACGATCCACCCACGTTGCAACGACCACCTTTAAACCTACATCCAATGGAGCAGAGATAGAATCTACGTTCTTCTTTCTAATTTTTCAAACGCTCGAAGAAACCCCCAAAATCTTTTTTCTGGATGTCCTCGACTTTCAAGACCATGTTCAGCTGTTTGAATTGTTCCAGTGGAGGCGGAGGAGTCGCCTACGGTGGTGTTGGATCGCGCAGACGCAACAGCCCCGTCTCTCCACCAACCGATCGTATCGCCCGATCCGTTTCGCGACGTGATCAAGACGGAACCAGCCCCCGACCTGCCCTCCCTCATCGAGGACATGATCCCCTACCTGGTGGAGCACGGAATCACCACCCCGAGACCGACCACCACCGCCAGCACGTCGAAGCCTTTGCAAACCCAAGGATCCAATCACCCACAGCACGCGTCCAACTTCGATTACATGGACAAGTTGCCCCTGATCCACCCACCGTACGATTACAGGCCGGAAGAAGCCCCCGACAGGTTAATCTCCAAGAGCAAATACGCCGCCAATCAGGACAACCATCCGAAAGAACCAGTTCCATCGAGTTACGGCTCAAAGAACACCGATCAGACGCCCAGCCACGTTTCGGAAAGTGTCCTGGGAACTTTCGATTTTGATAGAATCAGCTCGCCGCCGCTGGAACGTACCACTGGGGACCCGGAGGATCGTTCTTCCAGCAACGTCACGGATCCTGGATCTCTTAAGTTAAACAACTCCAGGGACGAGGAAGTCTCGAACGGATCAATGTCCAAGGACTCTCCGGCTAAAACGGACAATACCAAGGTTTCCTCCACGACCAGCAAACCTCTCGAGGACCCGGAACCGATCTTCTCGCTGGACAACGTTTTGGATCTGTTGTTCGCCTCCGACAACGATCCCAGCAGCGAGAGTATCAGGACGCAGAGTGTCTCCACCACTGTTGCTACCACTACACTCGAAACGAAGAACGTCAGCGTGTCGACGGAGAGCACGAGGAAGCCTGTCACGGAAACTGGAAGTCCCTCGAAGCTCCTGGAGAACGAGATCCCCGTCTCCGTGGCCAGTCTGCTCAAGCTGGCCGGGTGCAACATCTACGGGAGGATGTATCGCGTGGGGAGGATCATCACCGAGCTCTCCGGTCCTTGTCTCGAGTGCAGGTGCACGGAGATCGGCGTCCAATGCAAGCAGCTGCAGTGTTGATCGGTGTTTGGCGTCGTGGAGGAGGGTGTAGTCTTCCTTTCCGATGGTACTGAGATTCGGTTCGGTCCGGAGTAACGCGTTCGCTGTTCTTGAAGGGGAAATTGGCTCGCAGGTTGTCCAGGGAGTCATGAATCCCAATGCGTTTTAGCGTACATCGAGTTTGAAAATACTTACGTATCGGAGGACAGCGTTGCTCGAGATTTTAAAAGAAAAATCGTACAAGTTTTTAAAGAAGATTCCAATGCAAAAAGTATTCAATTATCCCCGCGCTACTTACCTTCTCTCGCCTTATTCCGGCCGCGTCGTTGACCAGACCATAAACGCCCCTTGGAAAGGATCCACAGCCTTGGTAGGATCGATCAGGATGTAATTGTGAGGAATAGTCCTTCCGTGCTTCGCAAGGATAAGTGGATAAAGACGGAAGTTAGCGCCTCGGCCAGGCCCCTTCGCTTTAATGGGAATTATCCTCGGCTATATAGACGTCCCCCCATTTTGATTTATCTCTGCAATTTATCTCCGCCGGTTAAATGCAAAAGATACGACCCCGGAGGACAGCGGAGAACCCCGGGTTATCTTGTTAGGTTAGCTTCGCTCTTCGCCCTTTCGTTCCGCTCGAGTTTATTTCGTTATGGAACCTCCCCGTGGATCATCGACAGATTTCGAAACCGAGAGGAGATATTCTCTCTCTCGGCCCTTTGTTCACGTCGAGAAGGGCCGTTTGCAAATTACCCTTCGTCCTCCTTGCATCGAATAATCGTCAAACAACGAACGGGACGTTGTATCGTTCGCGAAATTTATTAATTTATTTCCACGACGGAGTTCCCCGTCGCTGATAAACAATCGCGCGCGAATGGAAATGCATGAACGAGAGCGACGCGGAGGCATTCAATTGCAGGTAGGAACTAGTACTTGAATGAAACGAGGAATTTCATTTCAACAGAGTGATACAAACTTTATTATAGTAAATAGAAACGAGACACGAAGCCGTCGAGACTCCGGGGAACACTGCTCCGTGGGTGCTTACAGGAAATTAAAGTCGCAAGAAAGCGGAGAAACAACGGAAAACTACTTTTTTTGGTCGGCGGGTTGCAATTACTGCCAACGTAGATTGATTCGTCGACCCTTGAAAGCCTTTTTCAGGACTCCCGGATAAATTCATTAGCCAAAACAATGCAAAAAAACGGAAAGTCTCGGTTATTTTCACTCTTTCTCGCGACTAGAATTTTATTTCAGCGATTCGAAATAGTTTAGAAATTAAGAAAATATGGTAATTCAAATTCAGCCGCAAACGATCCAGTTTCGAACTGGAGGCAACAATTTCACCGTTGTTTGAGTAAACGGGGAATGTTCCCCGACAGACACGTCGACGATCTTGCCGCGAAAAGTTTCCGCGTTGATGTTGGAATCGCGACAGTCGTTAGAAGCCATTCGAGAAACATAACAGTTTTCCTTTCCTCCGAACTTTCGGTGCGGGTTCTCTCTCGCGAGAACGTTGCAACATTTAGGGCAACGTGTCTCCGCGAAATGGTCTCGGAATTGAATGTTTAATAATCAAATTGAATCGTGAAGAAAGAACTTAAAGAAAAGCTATCGTGTTTCTCGGAATCGCTTCCCACGAGTTACGTTTTTCTATCGAGCAAGAGCATCGGGATACTATTTGCTGACTTTCTCTGTCCATTAATCGGGAAAAGCGAGCTATCGGTTTCACTTACCGTCGTCGGCAGCGTTATCGTAGATAGTAAGGTTAGCCAGTAATTGATGTAATCGATCAAGACTATAATCTCGACGCATGGAACGAACAGGTAAAAACGATTCCTCGCGTTGGACTCGTTCGATCTTCTCTCTCTCTCTCTATAAGTACACCTCCCGTGTTTGTTCTCTCTCTCACCGTTTAAGAATTAAGGATACGCTTGAATCGCATTGGAAAGGATGACGGGAAAGCGCACAGTCGTTTCTGTATCGCGTTTCAAGGCCGTAAATTCGCTCTGAATGCCGCACAGAGGCTTGTACTATACGTTTTATGTTCGTCGTAATAAACGTTTACGGAATTCACGTTCTCACCCTTCACGATCTCCCTCCTCGTTTGCAGAATTAAAAACGAAATTCACGAAATTATTCGGGTAAGTAGAAATAGCCTTAGCGAGGCTGAAAATTTTCATTTCAAATAATAAATAGCTGTTCCTACGTTTCTGTTAATCGTATGGAACGATGACTTTGGCAATTGGTCGCGTCAACGGCTGAAATTCAATAAAAATGACGGGTTGGATGAAAAGACGCGTGGATACGGGAACCGCGGTACGATATCGACTTTATTGCAGGCAATCGATTGTTCCGATACACAATGGGGAGGTGACGGCTCCTCGTTTATATGCCCGTGATCGAATCACAGTGTATATAATCGTATTTATATTCAATAGTCGGTTCTATTTACAGATCGTATTATCGTTATTATTAATCGTGTCGACGTAGTCAGTAACACTAACATAATCACAGCCAGTTCGCCTCGTGTGTATAATATTGTGTAAACAAGTAGGTACAATCATCGACTAAACTGCCGGGGAGAACACATCCTTTATTTGCTCAGATTCTCCCGTAAATTATCCGCGAAATTCCTATCGACTCCTCGACGAATTTTCCCCCAAGAGGGCTCTTTGTCTCTTCGAACAAAAATCATTTACTTCCTCTAAAATGAATTTTATCCTCGACAGGATATTCCTTTGTTCCACAAAAAAAAAAAAACACCTCGTTTCGCTTTTACTTCAGCAATTTTCCATCGCGAAGTAATTAAAAAACCGTTTTAAATTTCCCGCCAAAGACTTTGTTACCTTAACTACTTTCCCCTCGATCGCGCGTAACTTTGAATTTTTTGTTTAAACGTTCGTGGAAAATTTATGGACAACCTGAGCACGGTTTCGGCTCTACGATCCACTATCGAATAATTTCTACATATAACTATAAATGTATTCTTTTTATTTTTTTTTATTTTTTGGCAGCATCGTTCGATGCTCCGTCGCGATGGAACTATGGGAACATTCTCCTAGAAACAGGCCTCTGGGAAATTCTCGCGATTCCGCGAAAATTGCTCGATCGCCTCGGGAAGCTTGGATTCCTTCCTCTTTAGCCGGAGCTTCCGTTTTGCGAGCCCAGAATTATTTTTACAGCGATTTTACGCAACGCCCGCGTCGATATCCGATTCCTTCGAGTCGATCGCGGGACACTGGAACCGAAAGTGATCCACGTCGCGCCTTTGAAGCCCTCGCGAAAGGAATCCAAGCGAAAGTGATCCTCCGACAGCATTTCTCAACCCTTAATAAGCGTTAAATTCTACTCGGCCACGCAGAGAGCCCGTAGTTTCTTTCGTTCGTCCATTTTTGCTTCTATTTTTCAGTGGAAAGTGGCGCGCGATAATTGCTTGGCCACTCACAACGCTGATCTAATTAAATTTAAATTACACGTTCGAAACTCTCTTTCGCGAGAAGACTGGAGTAAGAAAATTTATTCAATTTAAAAGAGGGGGCAGCGAGAATTTTTATTTTTATTTTTATTTTTATTTTTGGCCGATCAATTATCGCGCAATGTTTGGCAGAGATTTAGTCGAGCCTTTTCGTGTAGGGTGATTCAGGATGAGAATTACCGGCGAGCTGATAGAAAAGATACCTTTAGCTTAGAGTTAAGGGTGCGGCGTCGTAAATACAAGAGGGTGCGGGGGGGCGGAGAAAAAAAGACTGACCAAGGATGCACGATTAGAGCGTGTTCGAAAGGTACTAATATCGCGGATCAAAATTGCGGACACGTTTCACGATTCCCGCGAATATCCTCCCGGAATTCGGCCTCGTTAAATTCTTTCGTTAAATTTCTTCCCTTCCCCGGGACAATATATCCTAATAAAGGGTCTATCGTCCTTTCTATCAACATAATTAAATTTCAACCAACATACAACTTATCTCTTACAAGTTCCTCGATCTTTCACGATTAAACTTATTTCTCGATTCAGGCAATTTAACGTTTGGAAGTCAGTGATATTAGAAGTTTTACGACAAACCTGCGATTAGGGCTGGGACTACTTTTTACGGTCCGATCGATAAAAGTATCTCAACAGTTCCCTATTGAATCTACGCGCGAAGTACTGGAATATTAAATTATTTTACCGTTCCCGTGTCGAGTATATAAAATATTGGAATATCAAATTATTCGTGGTGGGTGTAGAAAATGCTTGTGCATCGAATGATTTTAATAGTCCCCGCCCTACGTGGAATGCGAAGGGTCGACGCGAACCTGTATCGAGGATCATAAATTTGAACACAGAAGCGCAGGATTTCTCCAAGTGGAATTGAAACAGCGTCGATATCGTTGACAACGGCCGGTACGTCAGCCTTAACGTAAAAAATGCATCGACGCGTACAATGAATCCGTGATCCGTACTCGATCTCTCGAGTTTCACGCAATTTTCCTCGAGTTTCGTCGGATTTACGGATAGTCGAAACGCCAGGGCAGCGTGGGGGTTTGCTTCGTCCGCTGCAGCTTAAACACCGAACCAACTTACGCTACTTTTATCGATAGTTAATATCGAAGAACGACTCGAAACACCCTTATCGATTAACATCTCTAACGCTGTGCGCAGATTGACCAAAAAATTTCATTCGATAGAAAACGATTATTTCTCTTTCGTATCCATATAGATTTTGACTAGAATGAATGTTTGAAAATCACCAGAAATTAGAAGTGAAACGTTTGCTTACCAATCAAAGGACCAGTTAGAAATTATTGTCCTCGTTAAGATTAAACTCCCGAACAGAAATCGTGATAATTTCTCGATGAATCGATCTGCACGCAGGGTGGAAAAAAACAACGATCTACCGATACTTTACCAATCAACGGATTCGTAGCTTACTGATAGTCGATTGTACACTCGTCGTCAACGTTCACCGTAGTTCTTGCTCCGTGTCGAATCCGTCTCGATCACTCTGAACGTCGTTTTCGAACAAAAACCTAGCGATCACTCGGCAAAGCTGTGAACTTTGAACGGCACCAACAAACATCTTCGTTAAGTTCGAACTCGTTCGATCCACGGAAACCGGGTTACACGTCGATCCTCCAGCTTGGAAGCGTCTTAGCGTTAAATACTCGATTACACCGAAGAGTCCTGGGTTAGGCGATTTATAGTACAGAGGCGTCCATTTGTCCCGGAAACCGGCGATTCGTCAGCGTTTCCGCCAGGGGGGGGGAAAAAACGGTCGCACGGGGCAACAATCTTCTAATCTTACAATTAGAGACGGGCCACGACCGTCCGTAAATTTCACAAAGAAACTCGCGTGGCTGGTTTCCGCCGGAGTTTGATTAACAGCACGTGGGGGGGGGAGGGATTCCTCCGTGGATTTTCGATCCTTTCTGTCGATACCGACCGACCCGGACCCCGATTAAACCGAGTGTACTTTGGCAGCTGGTTGTCTTTGGTTAAGTTCCGCGGAATTTCCGGTGATCTCCTTCATCCGTCTTTCCATTATCCCGGCGTCCTATTTTCTTCTACCGGTTTCCGGCGGGGACCGAGTATCAATAATCGGGAAACGAGCTCCCTCGACGGTCCACCGATCCTCGTGGACGTTGAAAACTATCCAACAGTTTGTTGATCGCGTTCGCTCCACGCGATAATTTATCAAGCTTTTTAATCTCACCGTCGCTTTCAGCATCACTTTTGAACGTCCAAACCAACGCGGTATCGAACCACCGCACGATCGTTTCGAAATTCCAATCGATTCCAAAATTCTTTCTCCCGGCAATCACAATTTCTAATTAATTTTTCCCCCAAGAGTTTCTATTCCGTGAAGATTTCCAGGGGCGGTTCTACTCGAAAACGCTCTCGGCGGCCTCCCGGATCTTGATGATGAGGAACGACCGCCTGCAGAACTTGACGAGCAGCTCGATCCTCTGTCAGGATGGCTTTCTGAGCTGGGGCAGAGCGATCAGGTAGATGTTGCCGAAGATGGCGCCCACTGCCAGCAGCATCACGCTGATGGCCGACAACAGGCGCACGAACCTGACGAATCTACGTCCCCTGGCGTCCTTCTTGCTCTGGTTCGGGAACACCGCCAGGCCCAAAAGGGGCCCCGCGAGGGCACCGGCCACGTGCGCCGCCCAACCGACCCTTCCGCAACCGAGCAACGCCGGGACCGGAAGCGACGCCACGTCCGCGCTGGCCAGCAACAACACGGCGGCCAGACGCCAGCTGGCGTAACGTAGCTCACCGTGACACTGTAACAAAACAAAGACCACCGTGTGGTCATTTTGCGCGAGATAGGATGTCCAAAAGGATTGCAAAAGGTCCATGGGGGATTAGTTTGCAACGTTTAAAACGTTTACGCCGTTGCATTCGATAGATAGAACTTAATGTATACGTGCAACAGGGAACTCACAGCCACTTTGAACCAGCATGACATCGATACCAAAGAGACTCAACGTCAAATGCGAATTTTTAAGAAAAATCGACAGGGGGTAGGTGCCCAAATTTTTCGATAAAAAAAAATGTTTCGAATTGTTCTGAAAAAAATATTGTCGGTTCGGGGGGTCAACTACAATCATTTTTGGTGAATAGATGTACTCTCGAATTCTTACGCAGTTTCGAGAAAAAAATTCAGAAAGGTGCCTAACTTTTTCAGCAAAATTGAAAAGTTTCAAATCGTTTTAAAAAAATTATTTTTAGTTACAGGGGTCAATTGCAATCATTTTTTATGAATAGACATACCCCCGAATTCCTACGCAGTTCCGAGAAAAAAAATCGAGTATGTGTCTGAATTTTTTGACAAAAAAAAATGTTTCGAATCGTTCTAAAAAAATTATTTTCGGTTGCGGGGGTCGAATACAATCATTTTTGGTCAATAGATGTACCCCCGAAATCCTAACCATTTTCGAGAAAAAAATTCCTTACCGAAACTATAATTTCAGGCCAGAAATATCGCTCCAAAATTTCGTGCGTATATTTAAAACGCCATAACTTCTGAACGGATTGGACGATTTTAATGTTTAAAAAGGCAAACGACGCGTATTTTAGTGCAGAATATGTAGAGATTCTAACAATATTCGAAAAGTTGTTCCTTGACCCCGTAAAATTAGAAAAACCCCATAAAAGCGGCCCAATTTTCAAAATGACCATAACTCTTACAATAGTGAATATATTTCAATGAAATTTTTTTCTGAAGTAGAGCTCATGGGTACCTACAAAAAAGTATTAAACAACTTTTCCGTACAGCGGCAATCAAATGTATTAAAAATGAAAAACTGATTTTTAAGAAAAATCGACAGGGGGTAGGTGCCTCAATTTTTCGGCGAAAAAAAAAACTTTCAAATCGTTCTAAAAAAATTATTTTTAGTTGCAGGGGTCCATTACTATTATTTTTGGTCAATAGACATACCCCGAAATCCTATCCACTTTCGAGAAAAAAAATTCAAGAAGGTGGATTTTTTTGGTGAAATTTAAAAATTTCTAATCATTCTACAAAAATTATTTTTAGTTGCAGGGGTCAATTACAATCATTTTTGGTCAATAGACATATCCTCGAAATCCTACCCACTTTCAAGAAAAAAATTCGAGAATGTGTGAAATTTTTCGACAAAATTAAAAAATTTGGAATCATTTTAAAAAAATTATTTTTGGTTGCGTGGGTCAATTACAATCATTTTTGGTGGATAGACATACCTCCGAAATCCTACGCACTTTCGAGAAAAAAATTCCTTACTGAAATGTCTGACCGATGATACGTTGATATGTTTCACTGAAATTTCATGCGAATCTTTGAAACGTCATAACTTCTGAACGGATTGGACGATTTTAATGTTCAAAAAGGCAAACGACGCGTATTTTAGTGTAGAATATGTAGAGATTCTAACAATATTCGAAAAGTTGTTCCTTAACCCCGTAAAGTGGGAAAAACCCCATAAAAATGGTCCAATTCCTCGTTTCTATCGCTTCATACGTAGGTAGGTTTCCAGTTCGCGAGAAAATAATTTGGGAATCACTAAACAAATAATTGCCCGGAAACTTTTGCACCCCACCGGGTACCGTTATTAACCGAATCGCGAATTTCTCCTTAAGAGAATCCAAGCGGAACCAGGGATCTGTAAAAACAATTTCCCCGGTTTTACAATGTTACCGCGCCCTGGAATATTCCAGGGAGGGTTAAGTTCGTAGTTACCGCGAAACAAATTCCCTCCCCCCGTTGGCGAAGTTTCCTCCGGCGTCGATTCCCGGACGACAAGAAACGATCCCACAAAGCGTAACTTCGATAAAACTGCACCGAACGCGGTAACTTTGGAATGGAAAACACATCCAGAAACAATCGCGACGAAGCCAAACCAGATTCAAGAGCGTCGCGATCTCCGTTAATCCCTCGGAAGTTCGTTGTTTTTCAACCCCCTCGGTTCACCCGGACCGTAGAAATTTATTATTCCCCGATTTAATGAGATTTAACGAAAAGAAAGGGCGCGGGAAGCTCGAGGAGGAAACTTCGTCGAGCGTGTCCCATCGAGTTTTTTCCCCTCGCGAGGAATTGGAACTCCGTCGTCGATGGATCGAACAACTTTTTCTCGGACTTACCAAGTAAAGATGCGCGAGATGGCTGGTGAGCAACGCGTAAACACCTGCAGAGGCGCCCATCAGGAACAGACTCGGCTGCAGAAGGGACGCTCCCAAAGCTCCGCAGACGCCTCCGCCCAGATAGATCGTCGCGACGCCTATTCGACCCTGCTCCACCTGCGAACATCGCGTTTATTCTCTCTTATAAACTATCGACTCTAAGATCGCGTCGAAGGAACAGCGTTCTTCCTGAATTATGCCGGACGCGACGTTTAAATCCCCCCAAAATTGACCCTCGCGTCGAGCGTTTGATGTCTCGGGCGGTTTCCGGTCGATTCGAGCCTTTCATCGCGCAAAATCGATAAAACGTACCCGGCGAAAGATTCGCTTTGCTCGCGAGCGGAAAAAAGGGTGGCTCCGCGACAGCCCCAGCAATTAGTCTGATTAACTCACCTCGAGCGGAGTGGCCAGCACCAGCTGGATGACCACGTTGAGTGCAAGGTGAAGTGCGTTCCAGTGCAGGAGCATGTACGAGGCGAACCTCCATCCCTGGACCCTCTGACGCGGGTCGTAGACCAACCACCTGCGCAAGGTCGCTTCATCCCCCAAACAGTGGACGGCTATCTGTCGTCATCGAGAATACCTTTCAATTTTCCCACTCACACACCCTATCGAATCGCAAAAGAAAGAACTAACGAGGGAGCAAAGGGGGCGAAGGGATCGTTTTTATTTCGCAGCATTATCGAAATCTCTTTGCAAAATAATCTAGCAAAATTTCGAAAGATTTCCCGAAATGTCCATCCCCACGGGGCATTCGATAATTCTCTAGCAAACATACATCATTATTATTATAGGGATTAATTTAGTCCGTTATTAATTCCCGTTCGTTAAATGCACACCGTTAATGGGATATTATTAAATTAGAGAGGAAATCACAGAAATCTGTTCAATTATTTACAGAGTTAACCGAAATCCAAACTTGTAGAGAAACGGGTGGTTTTTTTTCGTTGGAATTATTGTGCAAACAGAATAAATGTATAGGTACGGATTAAACGACCCGTTTCGCTGGTAAAACGACGCGAAAATTCGAACTGCGCTGTTATCGACAAACAATCTAGCCAATAATTAACGGAAATTCTACTGACAGAATGGTAATTAATCAAAATTGCCTTATTTAAACGCCGAATAAACCGCCGTCATTATCAGCCTTTAAACAACGAAAGGCGTGAAAGCGAACGATAATCGACGACTCGAAAAGCCTTGCTATTATTCGTTATTAATTGTCTTTAATTGATATCATTCTGTGGATACTTTCAAGGCTACTTCTCCTCTCAAATCACTCGAACGAACAATGACTTCCTCTCTACAACCAGAATGAAAGTTATTAAAAACGCGATAAAATAATATTCTCCGATGTTCTGTTCAAAGATAGCTCGACGGGGGATTTGATTACTACTCGTATGAATTTTTTGCAAGATCTTTTTCATCATATTTGTATAATAATTCATTCCGGGTTGGTTTAAATGGTCCGAATAAGATATCCACGCTCAGCAGTTTATATTCGTCGAAGTTATCGACGAACAACGGTGTATCTAATTGGTCGATCGATGGTAAATAACCAGCCAGAACGATCGTGCGATAAAACGTGTTCGATACGACCTGGTGAAATATTCTGGAGTCGCAAATATTCGTTGGAAAACGATCGACGGCTGGAAAGAGCAATATCTCCGGTGGAAATAATTCTTGGGCTACCGGAAACGTGCGCGACGAGGGGACTTTTCCCGACTGGCCAGACGAGACGAAATTTTGTTAAATCGAGTTTGACCGTGCCCGATCCGAACGGCTCGGTTAAAGTTAGTTAAACGCTTTGGTGTATTAAATTCTGCGGGTTAAACTGAATCGGGCGTCGATTGCGTTCGCGATAAAATTCGAGATACGATTAAGCGGCGAGTGGTATCAAATTTACCGGACAAGAAGATTTCTTAATCGCATCAAAAGACGAGGATCTTGACGTTCAATTTACAGGAACCATCGAGTTACTCGGAGGTATGTTGGTAATAGCGATGATCGAAAGGTTTTAAATTGAATCAGGGACATTGGTCGGAACGTCTGTTAAATCCTCGAAAGACTGCTCGCAATTTTATTCGCGGGTATTAACTTTATTGGAGAAAGTAATTTTAATCCGTCTGGCCGATCGCGAGTTTATATCACCCGTGTGCACAGGATGGAGATAAATTCGTAATGCAACCGAATGGGGAATGATTCCTTGTGGAAAAATGAATGGAAAATATGGAATGAAATTTTTTGATACGACCTTTTGTTCACGAGGAAATTGATTTTTAAATTGTTCGGTACGTGACTGGCGTGTCTGACCGTTCCTCGATGTTTCTACTTGCGTCGAGGGGTTTCAACGTTCACGGCGGTACTGGCTGCTTGAACCGGTTCTAATTACTTGAGAGTATTCGATTCTAACTACTTTACAGCACCGTTTATAGAAAACACGATATTAAATCGGTTTAGGTTTGAAAAATAATAATGTAAGTAGAAATATCGCGAAATGGTCAGACAGGTCTCGGAGAATTTGGAAGATTAATTTTCTCGTGAACCAAGCCTCGTACAAAAAATATGTACTCTATATTTTAGATGTATTTTCCTACGAGGAATCACCTAAATTTTTTTATTATGACACAAGCTTGTTGTAAGCAGCGTATTTGGTCGAATAGTTACGACGGAAAGAAACCTCGACAGCGCCACTAACCTTCCTGTATCTTTCCGCGTGATCTTTTTCTGATATCCTCCTTTTACGTTTCGCGCGATGTTCACGCCCCGACCGCGAGCTTTCTCTCTGTAAATCATCCCGCTCGCCGCGGATACACGGCACTTTTGGGCTGCGGGGGCGGCGTTTCGGGGCCATCCATTTTTACGTCACGTGCTTTTACGACCCTTGCGAGGTTTCAGTCTCGCTCCGGCGCTTAATGCCCTGTCGTGTTTGTAGTCTTGGGAAACGTCGGGACCCTCGAAAATTCGGGCCACGACCGGCAATAAAGAATTTCCATATTCTCCCCGCGCCACACCCCTCCCAACCCTCTCCTCTCTCGTTCCTCTTTCGCTGAAAAGACGTCGAGGTTTGGATCTATCCGATCCGCTTGCTCGATAGATACTCCTCTCGTGTAAAATACACTCTGTACCAAGGTTAAATTTCTTTTTACTTTGTTCGTTTAATTCTATTTAATTATGTTGCAAATTTATAGTGTTTTACACTTTTAAACGACAAAATTAATATCGTTGCTAGTTTAAAAATATCAGAAAGAAAGATTAATGGGTAGAAATATCGACCCCACGAATTTTCGATTTATTTTCCCACTTGTATTATTTTGTGGAATTATTTGAGCGTTAATTTTGAGGAAAATGTGTTTCGATCGAAGATGGGGAGAAGTGGAAAGATCGTGGGAAGGACGGACGACGCCCGGGGATCATTATAAGGAGGCAGGATCGAGGTACCCGGGGGTCGTCCGCGGCGGTTTGCGGTATCGTTCTGGCGTATCTCGACGTTTCATTAGCCCCGGGAACGTTCATTGTCGTTTTACTATCCCCTGTTACATTTTCCAGCAATTTTAAGTTGAACCGTTCTAGATTGGACGCATTCTTCGGCGGTGCCGCCCGGCCATAACGACTCCCGCAACTTCCCAAGCAATTATTATCCCCGAAAGAGCTGACCCCCGCGAGCCGAGCCACGACCTTTCCGCGATTTCGAGACGCGTCAATTTCCATTAAAAGGCGACAGGTCAGAGCAAAAGACCGATACTTCTCCGATACTTGAATCAATTCCGATATTTGCAAAATTAAACAGCGCGACTGTCCGCCATGGTTAATTATTCTACGAGCTCAGAATAGGTATCAAAGTCGTGGAAAGTCAAAGATACTAAGCGACGGTAATTGGGGTATTTTATTCTATTTAAAAATCGTTTTATTCGGAAAGTTAACCGTGATTTATCAGCGAATCCTTTAACGAGCCATATTTACGACGGCGCGTTCGCTCGTGATTTATCGAGTCCGTTATCCTATCTCCGGCGATATTAGGGAAGAACTCGACCGATTATTACGACGCAGACGGGGAAAGTCGACCTTTCGGCGAGAGGCCGCGTAACCGGATATCGTCGTTTCCGCTATCTCAGCGTTTCATTAAACCCGCCCTCCTCCGCCCTTTCGAAACATTATCGTTCGTTCCATCGCGCGAAACTGGACGGGGCAGAGTACAGACTGCGATTAGCTTTCCTCCGAATGGAAACGCCAAAAGGCTTCGGGGAGTCTTACTTTTGTTTCACTCAGAGGGGGCAAAAATTCGCTATTGAAATCTCGCTCTATCGGAGTCGAAACAAAACTGAGCGAGTTTCATGAATTTTTCCAAAGGTATCGGATATACTATAGGGCGTGCAAATCCGAAGGTCGCTTGATTAAAAACTAAATCGAAAATATGGCTTATAGGAGCCTCGATTATTCGACAAAATCGACCACAAATATTCCCTAACAGCCTCGCGTTTATTGCACGGAACGATATAAATTCTATAAACGTACAATTTTTCAGTTACATGCTTGTAGAATTCTTCTCTACATAGACAGTATAATATCTCGAAGTGTACATAATTTTACACGACTTTAATCGCAGAAAATAAATAGAATAGGATAGTTTCGAGAGTTGTTTCGAAGGAACTTGGAGATTTCCGGTTTGGAGCGTAAGAGAGCCTGCGAAACGAACACGCGAACGCGATCCCCCGTCGTTTTATCGCGGATCTCGACCGATTATTGTACCCATGAACTAACGGAATTCGATTTCGAATCAACGATATCCTGGTCGGTCCTGGCTCTCCCCGCAATCTCGGGCGTTTCATTAACTCCCCGCGCGGCGTTAACTTCTGTTTTATTGCGCGAAACTGCGGGAAAGAAGGGTGCATTTAACTTCGCGGCTTTAACGGGGGACCGTTGCACACGCTTCTTGCCCCGACGAGCTTCGGGAAACGCTCGAACAAGCTATCCTGGAATTATTATCGAGCGTGGGAAGGCGGGGATCCACGCGTCCAGGAGACCTCTCGTTTCACGTTTTTCTTTTTTTTTTTCTTTCTGTTCACCCGAGAGTTCTTCCCGAGCGTGAGTTTCTTGAAATATCGGTACGATGTTCGTCCGTGAACTCGTGCGTATAATTGAGGGGGATTCCCATCGGCCTGCTCCGTCCTTGTCCCGCCATCCCCGCTACGCATTAGCTCCGGCTAATGGGAAATCTTTCGTGCTCGAACCCCGTGTCTTCGGGTAATACGTGTACCGGTTGTTGCCAATTTCCCTCCTAGGAAACCTTCCCGACGCCGTAAACACGCGTTTCGCCCTTAATCTTCCGAGACTGACGACGCTGATATCGCGCTTCGTAACTTTTTGCGGGCCGCTCGTTGAAATTTTCAGGTTTAATCGATTTTCTACCGGGGAATAACACCGTCGAAAATTATATAAATCGCTCTAATGTTACAACAGCTTGTAATAATTTAAAGAAATATAGCTGATTTCATTGACAAACGCGGAGAAGAAGGACTGTCCGGACCACGAGTGCAGTCTCTCGCAGCGGGATGCAATTAATTGGCCGCTCAAGGCCACTGAAAGGCTATCCCCCACCACGCGACATCGCTCCGCCCACCGCTCCGTTCTTTGTCGCGTTGCCCCGCCCACGCACGTTGTTCGTTTCTCCCTAAATTCAGCCGAGATCCACGGTAATTCGCCAATCTCCCTCGACTCTGGAGAAAGAACGACTGATTGATATTACAAAATATCTCCCCGACCACTTGCGGTAAAAACGGAACTTCCTGGCGTGGAAATTGTGGCCTTGAGCGGTCAATTTATCTCGCCCCGACTGTATTTGCTCGTCGAATCGGTCGCGTGATTAATTAACGAGGCCGAATTCCCCGTTTCGCCGGTGTTTGCCGAACCGTTTCTAATATTCATCGAACTATTCGACGAAAGCTCGTCCACCAAATTGACGGAGGGCTGGTTTTAATCACCGTGTCGCGCGTTTAGTGCTGTTTTAGAGAGACTCGCCTCGAGGATGCTGATACAGATCATAAGGTAGGGCGGTCGTATCCGGAAGTTGGGCTTCCTGGGCGGCAGTGGATGCCTGGGCGTTGGTCTAGGCGTGACCTCGTCATCCTTGGTCTTCTTGTAGGTGGGCTTGACGATGATCGGGGACTCCGGGGAGTAGGGGGACCCGGGGCCGGAGTACGTGGTGTCCGTGCAGTCGGACGAGATGGTCGAGAGTGTCGGAGAGTTCTCCAGGAGCGCAGCCTCGACGTCCATCTTGGCCTACCTGCGAAAAAACAACGGGACTCGTTAACCTCTGGCTTCGAGTGGCCCTTCTGCGCATAATCTCCGCGTTAACAGCCGCCCTTCGAGGGCCACGATTATGAAATAATTCGAGGGTCCTCCGCTGGTCGTCTGGGAAACGGTTTTTGTCGCCATTACGGAACCTACTCGCCGTTCCAACGGAATATCTATCTAAGCACGAGCACATTGGGACCTTCAAACAATCTTACGTGGACGTGTACTTTGTCGTAGGGCTGAATTCAGCGTCTGAAATATTGGAGAACAAATTTCGAGCTAAAGAGGGACTCAGAATTTTGCGAGTGTCGTAATCCAGAGCTTCGGAGAGTGTGGCTTCCGAGCATTGACCTTCCCCAGGTTCAAAGTTTCCCTCTTTTAACGTCTCAGGGCGAAAAGTTTCTTGGGGCGCTTTAAACGCTTGACTTTCCACCCTCGAGCTTTCCGAGTCTTTGTCTTTTCCTGCTCTCTCAAGGTCGAAACTTCGGCCCTCGAGCTTCCCGTGTCGGAGTTTGCAACATTGATCTTTCGAGGGTTTAATTTGTCACTCTTTAAGGCTCTCCGGACCTCGGGATCTCTAAATTGAAGCTTCCTGGATTTCGACAACTTTCGCGAGCTTTCGGTACCGTTGACCTTGCGAAGGACGAAGCTTCTCGATTCAGACTCGACTTAGTTCAAATCAAGCTGGAGCCTTCGTCCTTTCAGAATCTAAGCTATTCACGGTCGACTTTCGATCTTGAGCTTTCCAAGGTTTTCCGGGTAAAAAAATTGATCCTTCGAAGGTCGAAACGTCGAGGACTCTGTGCCCTCGCGTGGCAGAGACAGGCAGGAAGACCGAGAGAAAAATGAACGTAGCTCGGTGGACTAAATCACGATGCGATCGCCGTCCAGTTATCGCGATAAGCTCGCCACGGACGCGACTAATCGTAATTTATGGACCGTGACGCTTGCTTTCGGGTCCCGGGGATATTCTTTCTACCCGTGGAAGATTATCGTAAAATACTTCCCGGGGAAAACGTCCGGAAAGAGAAGTACAAGAGGAAACGTGATCTCCGTAGACGTAGGGAGACCCCCGCGAAGAAACGACCCGGACCGGAAGGAAGAAACGTTCCGTTTCGCGTGCCGAGGAGGAGAAAAACGAACGTTCGCAGCTACGTGGGCCGGAATATTAATTAAACGGGTTTCTTTCACGGGCTGCGAACGTGTACGATTAAAAGGAAAAAGGGGGTAGGAGGTGGGCGAGGAAAGCGTCGAAGAACGGAAGCTGCAGAACCGGAATCCATAATTAGCGCGAAGAGCTTTCGCCGCGCTATTACACGCGTATGGCTCCCTAAACTCACTTTGGCCGCACTTTACTGCCCGCCAACGGGCAGGCATTAATTTGCATGCGGTTTCAAGTACACGGTTCCGCGCTAAACACGGCCATTCCGCCGTTCCTGGTCGAACGATCCCGCCTTCGATAAATTCGCGAATTCTTGACAAAGCCCACTGTGAATAGATAATTCGCGAACGCACCGAAACAACGATTTTCCCAACATTTATTCGTCGAAACTTTGCGCGTTTGGATACTTACGACTGTAAAATTTTATTCTTGATACCAGAAATATCAGAGTAGTAACGATTTCGCCACAGATACCGAATTAGTTGACTCCTCGCTGGTCCTCGACCCTAAAATTTCACTTCTGGACGTTGTCTTCGCTTCTAATTGCACAAAGGAGGAAAAGAGATCCACCCACGGAGATTTTTCCCGCCTCGTTAGCCCACCGGACGTAGCCTTTAATCCCGAACGCGTCGAGGTGCATTCATTTGGGTGTTAAATACAGGGAAAGGTCGACATGGCTCGCGAGTGACCGAGATACTAGCGTCAGGGTTTACTGTGCGTGCAATTTATCGAGTATTCATTACTCGAGGATCGTGAATTAAAAATTTAAGGACTTGTTAGCCAGGGAAGACCCGGTAGGAGCAGAGCGGAGCAAGATGGGGCCGAAGTTTTGGGTTTGGGTCAATCCTGGCGAGCCCTTTTGTCCGTTCCGACACTGCTCTTTGTTCCGGGGCCGTGTTTTCGAGCCACCCATAGAATTCCGCTGTGAATTATCGGGGCTCGTCGAGTCGGAGAAACCGGGAGTGCGATCCTGACGCTGGCTGCCTCGGGACGAATCGATTCCGTGGCAAAATCTGGTAGATTTCGCGGGAAGATACGGGGAAGACGGGTGTCGCGCACTTTTCACATGCAAAGAGGCACTGGAATCGAAAGGCGTTAACGTTTATTTAAGCCGTCTACGGCTCGTCCCGCGATGGAATGACTCGTTCTCAGGAACTCGATTTTTCGAAAGACGTCGACGCACCCGGGGAATCGAAAGTACCGCGATCTGTTCCCGTTTAATACATATTTCGTTCCCGAGAAGTCGGAAATTACACTTGGAATCTGTAGGATTTGCAGGAAAACAACTTTTAATAATATGTATTGTAAGCAACCTTTAGGTTTGCAATGAATGAGTGCAGTTACATTATACGAGAGTTTCCATTAAAGGCATTGCCGACTATGTGAAGTATGCATTTAGAAGTTGTTCATTTTATTAGTTAATTATTTAGTTAGTTACGTTCGAGACAGCTTTCCATACAAGTCATTGCATTAAGATATTAAAGGGAAAATGTCTAAAATATCTTAAAATATATTTCAAAACTCTTCTCTCGATTCACTCAAAACTATTGCAAGAAATACAATATTTTAAGTACCGTTGAAAAAATACAGAAAATTCAACCCTTGGCCGGTCCGAGAAAATTAAAACGAGTCCTTATTAATTCCAGCTGCGTCTAAAAGGGAGGGTGGAACAAATTCGTGTGAAATACGCGTATTGTTTGGGCAACTTTATCCCCCGGGGAGAAGGATCGAAGGATTAACGGAAACGGTCGAACGCGTCCGAGGAGCCAGTTACCGCGAAATTCGTGCGTAAATCATAGGAGGGTGGCTTTTGCCGTCGAGGGAATAATAATCCCGGCGTGGCGTCGATGTCGCGGAGCGTTCGAGGACCGCGAAACGATCATTGGCAGCCACTTGAAACGCGCGGGCACGCGGAAACGGAAACGCACGGTACACTTTCGACCGCAGGGTAAATCAATGTTCCCTCCCCCCCACCACCCCACCACCACCACCCCTGTCGCGTTTTCCGCGGACAGCTACGGCCGCTACGCGACGCGACACCGCGTTTGATGTTCATTATTGTAACGGGCGTTCGTCCATTTCGATGATAAACGATCGCTGCGGTCGAGCATCGTTCTACCCTCCGCTCCGAGTAAATGAATCTCGCGGTAGACCGTCAGAGAGAGAGAGAGAAAGAGAGAGTAAGAGAGAGAAATAGATCCGTTTTATTTTTTTTCTCGGTTCGCTTTAATTGCCGCGACTTTCATATCTCGCCCTCCAAACCCCTCCCCCGGCAAAGCTGGATAAACGGGAAACGAGCTTTTTTAAAATTTACTACCCCTGAATTTTAATTCCTGATTATGACCGGGGCCGAGCGCGGTTTTTTTCAAATATTTATTCGCCCATCTTGGCCCCCCGTCCGTGCCTTCTCTTCCGCGCGGCAATGTTTCGGAAAAACGATCGCGATTGTTGCTAACGAGGTCTTTTTTTTTATAGTCTCCCTGGGGAGGGACGGAACGGCGGAAAATAAATCTGTTGCGTGGGAAAGAAGACTAGAAAACTGTTAAACGCCATAGGCGAAACGTAACCGAGTTGTGTTCTGATATTTATTCTCTTTTATGTCAAAAAATGTTGTTCCAAGTCGATACCGTAGTTAGTTTTCGAGGAAACAATTATTTAAGAAAAAGTACTGACTAGCAATTACTCAAACATCATTTAAATTTAAATTTATTTTCAATTAAATAAACAATTTACAGTTTTGTTTTATCCCACATCAGTCGTATGATCAATAGGAAGTGCTGAAACTTCTTTAGGTATGTAATGTTAAAGTAGATGTCAAAATAAACATAGAAGATAGCAAAAATTATAGTAGCTGGTATAGTCATCGGATAGAGGATTAAATGCCCTTTAAAATGAGCGTTTGTGGGAGTCGATAGCTTTATTAGTTCCGGAGATATGGCGATTTTAATGTCAAGTCGATCGCGTGAGTCCGAAGGGCCTGATTACGTTTGTTTACATCTCGAGATGAATGAAGTCACGTGACCGTAGTAAATAGTAAACGTGACGTCACTCGGTCACTCGGTCAGTGGGTCAACGTGCGACAAGGAGGTCCGACGCGTCAGACGGAGACAGAGATAGTCAAACTAGAAAAATTACCTTTTACATAAATTACGATATCTCGAAAACGAAAAGTCCGATCGTCAAAAACCAAAAACCACTTTAAAGGGGAAGGTTCACCGCCGCTAACAATCCCTTAATAATTAATAAAACACTAGTAGTTTCGGAACTGCACGCGTCCAAAGTTTGACTATTTTTAATACGCGTTGATAGCCTTTTCTAACACGGGGAAGCGAGAGACGGCGGAATTTGAAAAATTACCTTTTACATAAATTACGATATCTCGAAAACGGGAAGCCCGATCGTCAAAAACCAAAAGCCATATTAAAGAGGAAGGTTCACCGCTGCCAACAATGCCTTAATAATTAATAAAACACTAGTAGTTTCGGAACTACACGCGTCCAAAGTTTAACTATTTTTAATACGCGTAAATAGTCCTTTTTAACACGGGGAAGCGAGAGGTCGATGCAAGGGTTGTAAAACATGCAGATATTTTCTAAATTTGGAAAGGTTTTTGGCCGCCAGATGTCGCTATTTTTCTGTAATATCCTTGTATCGATACGCACAGGCCTATAGTATTTTTCTTTGAGTTTCAACCGATTATATTCGAATTTATCGCGTATTATTGTGAGACTTCCCTGTAGGATTTGGTCTCGAGGAAGAAGGCGATCGCTGGGTATGTTGATAGCGCGTAATCGGACGCAGGGACGGTCACGGGAGCGTGATCTATGCGGGAGCA